GGTAGGAACAAAACCAAAGATCTGTGATTTTAATGATTTAAGTAAAAACATTCTACCAAGAGTAGCCGGAATGTGGCCTCTTGCTGACACAGAATTTGCCTAACAAGTTCAGGAACCAATTAGGGTATTTTGGAAGTTGAAGTCCACACATAAAGTTGTTGAAGTTAAGAAAGACTGCTCTAGGGCAGTATTTCACAACCTTGGCCCTTTGAAGATGAGTGGAGTTAAACTCCCAGAATTCCCTAGCCAGAAAAGCCAAGCCGGCTGGGGAATTCTGGGAGTTGAAGGCCACCCATCTTCAAAGGGACAAGGTTGAGAAATACTGCTCTAGGAGATGCCCTGGGTCACATTATAATCAGATATAAAAGTATATACTTTTATATCTTAGAGCTAAGATGGGGACTTCCCCCAAGACCCCATCTTAGCTCTAAGAGTCCCTGGCATTGCAAAGGCTTGAGAGGTGGTGCCAGGTTTACTGACCAAATAGCTTTCTGAGTTGCAGAGTTTTAAACAATGGTCTATCTGTGAAGAGCTAGATTGTCAAAACAGCCTTTCCTAATGTGATATCCTCCTTGCCTATGCAAGGGTTGATAGCGCCGTACTGAAAACGCCTGGGGAAAATCAGACAAACATCAACAAGGTCTATTATTTATATTTCCTATGTTGTAGCACAGAGAGGAGGGGTGCACAGGGAACATAGAACATAGAATAACAGGGTTGCAAGGGACCTTGGAGGTCTTCTAGTCCAACCTCCTGCTCAGGCAGGAAACCCTATACCATTCCAGACAGATGGCTGTCCAATCTTTCCTTAAAAACTGCCAGAGATGGAATGTCCACAACTTCTGGAGGCAAGCTGTTTCACTGATTAACTTGTTCTCACTGACAGGAAATTTCCCCTTAGTTTTAGGTTGGATCTCTCATTAACGGTAATTTTGAACAGTTGCGGAACGAATGGACATAAACCAAGGATTACCGGGATATGTCTTGTGTGCTTTTTCTTTCAGCCTTCTTCTTTTATAATTTGTGCATTAAATATCTCAGAAATGAGAAAAGGCTTAGCAACTTGATTCTAAAAAAACATCCAACTTCATGGCTTTTATTTCTGAATTGGCAAGAAACATTAGTTTCTTATTTTCATTTTTTTTTTCAAACCAAGAATAGAATATAGAATATAGAATAAAATTAATAGAATAGAATAGAACAGAACAGAATAGAACTGGGAGGGACCTTGGAGGCCTTCTAGTCCAACCCCCTGCTTAGGGAGGAAACCCTATAGCAGGGTGTCAAACTCAAGGTGCTTAGAACTAGCCCGTGGGGTCGCCCTAGAAACAGTGAAGGACTGGCCCGTGGTGTCTCTGCCAGTGAAAACGGAGCTTGGGAGCGCCGTGTGTGTGCCCCACCCGAGCTCCATTTTCAGCTGTGATGGCCTCCTGCAACCTTTTGCCAGTGGCAGAGGTTTTTACTGGCAGAGAGCTTGGGCCGCCACAGGCACTCCTGACATGAGTGACGTTGAGCTGGCCACACCCAACCTGGCCACATACCCAGCCTCCCAAGGTCAAACACAACCCTGATATGGCCCTCAATGAAATCGAGTTTGACACCACTGCCCTATACTGTTGTGATTGCGGCGGCCCGGCAACAGGGACGTTGCTGGCGGATTAGCTAGAAGGGAGTGGCTGACGCGCACGGGAGTTTTACTGGGTTCCTATTGGTTAGCTCGTTGACAGCTCGGGATATAAAAGAGCTGTCAGTTACCAGAAGTTTGTTCCGTTCCGTTCCGTTCCGTTCCGGTCGTTGCTGTTATTAAATGTGAATAAAACCTTCGTTCATGCCGCTCTCGCCTCGTTAATGTCTCAGCTGCCAACGGAACATATACCATTTCAGAAAAATGGAAGTAGGATCAAAAAGTTGGAATGATTGTGCCATTGAAAACTTGCCCCTTTTACATGTGATGCATGAATGCAAATAAGTTGGGGCTTCAATCTGTAAGTTAGGGTGGCCATCTTGACCACCCCCCTCCCCGTAGAAATCTGGAAAATGATAAGGCTGTCAGGAACTAAGATTTTCAACTTGATGATGGGTTAAAATAAATCAACTTAATACACAAAATCATCCAATTTTTCTTAAAACATTCCACCCTTTCACTTACAGAATCACGTATGTGGGAAGTTGTTTTATATTTGTTCCCACAGTTATGAGTCTAATTACCCCATAAGCATTTTTTTTTTTAAATTTTGAGATGGACATTTACATTTTATCCTGTAAAAAGCCCTTTTCTACCCTCGGGAAAATAAAAGTGCTATAAAATATTTCCGCAATGGTTAGAATACTACAAAATGACAGCAAGATGTTCAAATGTCCAAATTCAATAATGATAGAAAATTTTAAATTACATTTTTTTTTCAAAAAAAAAAAAGACCATCTATTTGACATTTTTCATTTTCACATTGACTTTTTGTTGTAACATTAATGAGCAGGGGCTGCAAAAACTGTGGGACAGACCAGAAATCTGTTTTATTTCTTTACTGTCTGAGTAAAGAGCCCAGCTGCATAAATATATTACACAAATGCATGTTGAAAAAAAACTACCTGGGAATCAGGCTTTTACCAATTCAGAGACAATCTCTTGGGTGCAGCCTTTGCTGCTTGCGCAACAAAAATAAAAATAAATTCCCATTAGTGCTGAAATTAAAAACAGTGGTTTTATTCTGGACAACAACTAACTATACGTGATTTAATCTCAAAAACTAAGATTAAAACATAATCTTCTATTTTAGACATAATGGGAAATTCTTTTTTTATAAAGTTATCAGGCTCACAAGCACCAAAGTCAATTGGGGACAAGAACGCAGGGCCTGGACAGGATATTTAATTCCCAGTTTAATAAATCACCCAGCAGATAGAGTTGTTGTTTTTGGTTCATTGCACTGGTGACACTTCTGCAATTTTTAGATGCAGCATTCCAGAAATGTTAATACGGATAATGCTAAATTCCAATGTATTTTTGAATCACAAATTGTAAACCTTTTTAAAAAAAAAAAACCCCGCAAACAGATTTCAACAGGATCTCACACTCTCTATCCATGAAATCAGATCACAATACAATAATTCCTGGGGCTTTTATAAAACCTGCAGGGACCGGAATTGTTCTGCTGGGCTCTGAGAAATGATACCATGCAAGGTGGATTAATGCATCGTACTGTAACATTTAAATTGTAATCTGAATTTTTATTGTGGCTTATTACCTTTGTTTTAAGATTTTAAACCAACAGGGGTCATAACATTTTCTTGACATATAAATGAGAAAAATAAATAAACTTACTACCTTTGACTTTTGAAGGGATCATAGTATACTTTTGCTAATCCATTTCCTGTTCCAACCATGATTTGGTTCAGTTTAGGATGCCACAGACACCGAACGACACTCTGTAAAGTGAGATGACAATGTAAATCAACAGAAGATCTGGACACACAGGTTTTCAATTCCAATACAACAAACCTGAGTATTCTGCAGCCATTAAACCAGTCTGGCCTGCGGTGGAAGGCAATGGCAGGGGGCAAGGAGGCATCGGGGCAGGGAATGTCAGAATATTCATGACTGGGAAGACATGGTAACAAGGTCAGCTAATGAATAGGCATAGCAACTAAGTCAGCCAATTGGGAGCTGAAACAGACTGGAGCCAGGTCGTGTCTTAGTCTGCAGCTTCTGATTCTGTGCAGAGAAGAGAAACTGAAACCAGTGTATGTTAAGTCTCTCTGCCCTACTGTGTGTGAACATGTCTACTGATCTGAGCTGAAGAATCAACTATTGGTATTGTAAATACTTTATGTGTTATTATGAATATAAAGAAGTTAATGAATCCAGCTGATTCAGTTATCTGTGTGTGCTTCTGGATTTGATTTTTGCAAGAAACCCTAATAGGGAGGCAGGGCAGCATCAGCAGCATGTGGGGCAGTAGTGGTCCTTCACAACAGTCCCAATTTCTCATGTGGCCCCTTGGAAAAATCAACTGCCCGGCCCTGCAATAAAAACTGCTGAAGTCTCCTTCAGCTCCAGTTGGAATTATTTCCATGAGGAAATCTTTACAACAAAAAATTCTCACTTCCATACCCCACTAATGAATATTAGCAAGCTGTGATACATTTCAGCTAGATATTTTCTCCAGTATGCAAAGGGGATTAGTCCGTAAAAGTAGGGTGGTTCTTCAGATAGCCTAGTCCTGAACAGTTTAGGACCTTAATAACACAATGGCCACAACATGAAAATGGCTACCACTGCATAACCTTCAGCAAATGCCACAGGGAAATCTGGCCATAGTGATTTGCACGTACTTTCACCCTGCATTTGGCACCCTTCATTCTGTGCCCTCAACAGAGACAGCCACCTACAAAGCATGAGTCCTATAAGACTATATGGAAAGATAGAAAATATAGCCTCAAAGGTGCTTTTTTCAAGAGGCAACTGGACTTTCTGTTTTTTCTTTGACAACGTTTCACTTCTCACCCAGGAAACTTCCAGTTGCCTCTTGAAAAAGCATCTTTAGGACAACCATGATCTGGATAACTGAGAATCTCCATAGACATAGACAGTGTTGGGATTCAGCCAGTTCGCACCACTTCAGGAGAACCGGTTGTTAACTTTCTGAGCAGTTTGGCAAACTGGTCGTTGGAAGAAATCATTAGGGCAGAAAACCGGTTGTTAAATTACTTGAATCCCACCACTGGACATAGAGAATACAGATTTAGATATCAGGTTCATTTGTATCTGGGCTTTTAACAGTGCAGAATTTCCTCTTAACAGTGAAGACAGAATTGGTCAGTTTACTAGATGTATTTCTAGTAATAGATGTATTTCTGCTTGATTCTATTATGCATGTGTTTTTGTAAGTACGAATGGGCATATTTCCTTGTGTTCCTTTTCTTATATTATATATATATATATATATATTGCTATCTTGTGTTTCTAAATAGGGCAGAAGTCTTTTGCCCAAAGTGGGCATATTATTTATGAAAACAAGGTTGAAGAGAGAAAAAATTATCCTTACATCTGAAATGATTGCTTCAGATTTGCTGTTTACTTTATTTATGTGCATTTAGATTTTAAATTTGCCACATTTCCTGGCTGTGCACAACACAAATATGTTTTACTATACAAACTGTATAGCAAGCGTAAACAACAAAAAAGCTAACGATATCTTTATTGCATTCTTGCTATTTGTCTCTTTCTCATCCCTTCTACTTCTTTTAAACCATTGTTAATATTTATCAGGACAGCCACTTTGGTGTAGTGGTTAAGGCATCAGGCTCAAAATTGGGAGACTGGGAATTTAGTCCCAACTTAGGTGCAAAGCCAGTCCTAAGACTGACCTTGGCCAGTCCGTCCCTCTCAACCCTAAGAAAGAAGCAATGGCAAGTCACTTCTGAAATCTTGCCAGGAAAACTGTAGGAAATTGTCTAAGTAGTCACCAGGAATCAAATGCTTACTTGAAGTATCCCACCCACTAAAAAGTATTCAACAATAGATTGTGTAAATAGATGTAAGACTAGTGCTTCTATATCATGTAGAAATGAAAAAAATAGTGTAACCTATACAGTGGTACCTTAGTACTCATCATTAATCGATTCTGGGAGGTGCGATGAGTACCAAACAATTTTTTCCCATAAGGAATAATATAGTGAGTCACAAGGCAGCCAACACTGGCAGGATCTAGCTTGTGCATTGAATACCAAACAAACAATGAGTACCGGGGCAAAATTTTACTGTCAAAATGTGTTGAGTACTAAATTTGATGAGTTTCAAAGCAATTGAGTACCAAGGTACCACTGTATGTCATCAATATTGCTTAATTCAGAATTCTCAATTAAAATCTCCGAATAAAAGACATCAACAGATGCTAGTAACAGAGCTACTTATCTTCTGAGATTTTAAAAAAATCTAAACTTTTCCTTGAGCTGGGCTCTCATTTATGTCTTTTTGTAAGGATGAATTAAATGCTTTGCTTTTTTCGTTTTTATATTTTACAACAAAGCTCCAAATGAGACAGCTGTTGCTTATATTTCAACTGCACCCAAGAGACAATTAACTGAGTCAGAGTTGTTGCAAGTGCTATAATTAAAAGCCAGTTATAAGATTCGAAACACGTCTTCAATCAGATTTTGCTTCTTGCCCAAAGTCAACATACAGAGGCAATTTTGTGCATTTTGTTTTCACAAATCAGCACAAAATGTTGAGCTAACCCTTGCCCCTGCTTCTTAAGTTTGTGAACTTGAAAATTCTCATCTTTGACTAAAGGATTTGTGAAAAACATCATTGATATTTGAAGGTAAAATGTAAAACTTGGTAACTTTAGAAATCCAAATTTCTTTAAAAGCCTTTCACCATTATCTTTAGAGAGTGTAAAAGGTGATTCTTACATTTGAGGATAAGTTTGCAAACTAAGATAATTGATAATGGGCTATCAACTTGGTGTCAACTGTTAGCCGGCCATATAAACCTTCTCCAAGATAATCTATCCTCAGCCTGGCTCTTCAGATTTCCCAGTAAGATACCCATCACCACAGCAATTAGATCCATTTATCTTACTTCTAGCAATTCTCTCCTTATCACTCCTTTCACATTTCCCAGCATTATGGACTTTATAAAGGAGCTGGTTCTTCACATAATAAATCCAAAATTTTATTATCTAAACCTGCTCACTTCTCCCTCAAGTGAGAATTCTGGATTGATTTGTTCTGCAATTCATTTATTTATTTTTCTCCCAAGATACTTCTCCTACAAAGTTCAAAAGCAAAAATACTCCTTCTGTCTTGCCTCTTCAAATTCCATACAGCATGCAAAATTCTGATTTTGGTAGGCAAAGGCAGGTCACAGCATCTGAAAATATTTTCCAAGACTGTCATGTATACCCTAAGAAGTGCTAGTCTTCAGGATATTTCTTGACTCTACTTGCAGAAACAAATGAGTCCAGGAAAATCTGCAAGCATGAGTAAACAGCCAGTGCCTTTTGGGGATGAGTGGCCCTACCCAAAGTATCTACTAGGATTGGTGTTATTAGCATGTCATGCTGCCTCTTGATGAACAACTGCCCTGTTTTGACAGGAATTAAAACTTGTTTTGCCCCATAGCCTCCAAGCACCAATTCAGAACTTCTATGGCATCTCCGGCATAACCTGAAGTTGTAATGTACCCAAGCAACATTAATATACTGATAACACCTCATCCCAAACTGATGGATGGAACATTGAGTCTTGAGGAAACTCCCAGTGGAACAAGGGCTCAGGTGTTTCTAAGCACCACCATCTGGGTAGGTAGGAGGAGAACCACTATAAAATAAAGCCAGTGACCAGCCAACTCTTGTAGGTACACTGGAAGGATTTTGTTGTCAATGGTATTGAGTGCTACCAAGAAATTTAATAAATACAAAAGGGACCCCCAAACCATCTAGGTCTCAGTGTCACCCAACAGCATGACCAGTGTTGTTTCTGTCCCATGGCCAAGCTTGAATTTGATATTTTGGTTTTTTTTTCTAGGGCCCTCTGTAGTTGGCTCCCCATTATTTTCTCAACAACCTTCCCCAAGAAGGACATTTGGAAACTGGATGAAAATGTTCAAGACAGGGAGCTTAATATCTTCCATGAACACAATGTTATCTCCCAGAACCAGCTGCTCACCTGGCCACACGAAGGCATATATTTCTGATATATTTCTCTCTTGAGATTCAAGGATATATCAAGTCTGCTGGTGGCAGAGGTTAAGCCACAAAGCTTTCCACTTCCTCAGGCTCCACAAGCTCAACAAAATCACATATGACATCACCTCTTATACCACAGGCTCTAAAAGACGCCTAAACCCTAAATAGATAAGAACATCTTTATCTGTAAAACAACTTGCAAACTCATTTAGGCAGAGATGCAAGGTGGGAATCTTTGCATACAATAAGCAGGCTGTAGGATGCGTCACCACTCCTATCAGCACAGTGTAGGCTTGTACATAAGTATTACCAGTTGCTTCTTAAAAACAGATAAACAGAAGGAATTGATTTGCAAGTCTGCTAGCAACAGAAAATGATACTAACCCTAATCGGAAAATAACATATTTATAATAAGGATCAAACCAAGGTGACACATTAAATGTGCCTTCCTTCTGACATTGTGCTATTTTACTTCTAAAAGCCGTAGGAAGCTATGGGGGAAACAGCAGAATCAACACTGTAAAATGCAGAAAGGGGGAAATAGCTTTTCCCTCTGTAACACAATAAAACTGCACCAGCATGTAGATTATTTTGTACTTGAGGGAAAAAATTGTCATTGGAGACAGTCACGCACTGTCCATCCTTCCAAGAAAGGCTGGCGTAAATTCAGTCCTAAATGCTTTACACAAGCCTAAGAGCAAAACCACTTACTTTTCTTTTTCACGTTTATTGGCT